GCAACTTCATGTCACTAAATGCAAAACATCAATGAAAGTTACAAACTCCCAAAGAAATGCAGTAAAATGGCTAAACACTTAAAACAGAAAGACTAGTATTTCTATAATCACTGAAATGTAATCAATAGTTACATTTTCTCACAAAGGAAAGGCCAAGTTCAGACAATATTATAGGTAAGCTCTACCCAATTTTCAAGGGACAGATAATTTAAATCTTTTTCTTCACTTTCCAGAGAATAGGGGGGAAAGAGAGAGAGAGAACACACTTATTCCACAACCTGGACATCAGAACTAGACAAGAGAAACACACACAAAAAGTAGGCCCACTTCAGCACTATACTAGAATTTTAAGCCTGCCTGCACTAAAAGACCACAACCACTCCAAATAAGTGTATACATATTTTTAAAAATAAAAGTTAAAATAAGAGTGAAGAAAAACAATGATTATTTGCAGACATTATTGCCCACATAAAAGACCCCCAAAACCTAACAGATTTTAAATACAAGACTTTAGTAAAGTGGCTGGATATAACAGCAGTCATCAAAAATATAAGTCCTGTGCTCACTTTAGCAGCACAGATACTAAAATTGGAATGACACAGAGATGATTAGCGCGGCCCCTGCACAGGATGTTACGCAAATTTTTATTTTTGCAACCCTTCTGTAAATCTAAAATTACCTTGAAGTAAAAGTTGAAAAAATAGATGTAATTTCTTAGGTCAAGAAACAGAAAATCGGATTTTTAAAAGATACTACTCATAAATAGGACATTAGGATAAGGAAACCAGGAGGAAATACAACAAAAGAAGTTCAAAAGCTTAAGGAAATTTCTAAGAACCTAAAGAATAGGGGGTTGTGCTATCTTTATGGCTGGGAAAATTCAATATTATGGTTTTCTTTTCCCATAAAATCTACCATTTGAATGCAACGGCAGTTAAAGTCCCGACAGAATTCTTTGGAAAACCTGGCAAACTGGTTCCAAAACTGCACAGAAGAAATGGCACAGGCATCCCCAGTGGGATGCCTCAAAGGGGCACTTGTCTCAATGCTTCCCGTAAGGCTGCAGAAATGGTGATGCTCGCCACCGGCACTGGGATAAACAGTAAACTGATGGATTAGAGACCCCGTGAGACAAAACCCACATACATATGCATACTCACACGACAGAAATGAAACTGTAGGTCAAGGACTAGACAAATCCTTATTTGGTTTCGGACAGCTAATCATATCCATACGTTAGGGAAAAAAATTTGGGATCCCAATACACACACACACACACACACACACACACACACACAATTCAATGCAAAGATTTAAATGTGAAAAACAAACCTTTATTTATAACGTTTAGAATATAGAGTATCTTTATTAACAATTTCTTAAGCAAAATACAAAAGACAAAACACACAGAAAAAGGCTAATAAATTTGACATTAAACTTAGAAATTTTTACCTAAAACACAAAACCTAATTCTAATCAAACACCTAGTCATAACTTCCGGTTTACAGGAAGTAGGGAGGTTACAGGACTCCATGATATCATCAAATAACTTCAGAATGTGGAACATTTTACAAAACAACTGGCCTGAACTCTTCAAAAAGTCAATGTCACTTTAAAATAATGGAGGTAGAGATAGATGGATGCATAAGAAATTCTTTCAGGTTAAGAGAATAAACTAACAAGAACATACAGTGCATGAACCTTAAGTTTGATTTAAAAATAAACCAACACTTAAAAGTGACATTCCTGACACAATCAGGGAATTTGAATATACGCTATATATGATGGGATTACTGATAATTTTCTTAATTCTGATTAATAGTATGTGGTTCTATAGGGCACTTGCTCTTTAACAAATGCATGGTGAAATACTGGAAGGTGAAAATGTCATTGTATTTTCAATTTGCTTTCAAATTGTTCAACAACAAAGTATTCTTCACACAGATCTCTATGGAAGGCATATGGATATTCATGCTTTGTATTTGTATAAATGTATGAAATTTTCTACATTAAAAAGTTGAGCAGAAAATTAAAATTTGTTTTCTTCCAAGGGCATCAGTAAGTGAAAAAATAAGCCACAAACTAAAAGACATTTGCAATACCTAATAGTAAAAATATCTACAATCTATATTAAAAAAAAAAAAAGAAAACCTAAGTCCTTAAAGAAATCTATGACAATAACCTAACATAGAATGGGCAAACGTCATGAAAAAATCTTTTCACAGAGTGCAATCAGGAATGAATAATATATATGAACAGATGTTTAACCTAGTTAGCACTGAGGACATGCAAATTCAAACAGTGACATTTCCTCTCTAGCCAAAATGGATGAAGAGGGACAGGATTTCCTTCCCCAACTAAAAACCTGTACAATATGCAGACAACAAGGTTTTTCAAACATTGGACAATAGCTAGTGCAAGACAGTGACTCCTGAAAGGGAAGACAAGTGCTACCATCGCCTGAGCTTAGTGCATAGTTTCCTAACTGTAGCTCTGGGACAAGGACAGGAATTCAAAGAGCCTGCGAGTCTCCAGGGGTGGAGAATTTAGGAGCCAAGATCAAGTTTGTAGGGCACAGCATCGGAGAGAGAAGGGAGCTACAGAGGAAGAGTTCCAGATCTACAGAGGGTTCCCCTGAGTCTTCAACTGAGTATTAGTCAGTGTTTGTACATGAGGATACTACCCAAGGGTGGGGGGGAAAAAACACCCAGTAGAAACAGTCTGGGAATTGATACAGGGCTTAGAACAGTTTTCATTCCCAATAGCCAGAGTGAAGCAGTCTCTTAAGAGACCAGGCTTAGGAAAGCTTATTCACAAGGGTACCCTAAACAGTGGGCCAAATTAGCCCTAATTAAAGACTGTTCTAGTCCTACTTCATTGAGCTTAAAAGCTATGAAAGGATCAAACTGCTCCCAAGTAACTTATTTAAACAAGTATAAAAAAACCCAGCATTCAACAAAATAAAATTCAAAAATTACCAGGCATGCAAAGAAGGAAATTACAACCCAATACTGGTGGCGGGAGAAGGGGATTCAACCAACAGAGATCAGAAATGAGAGATGGCAGAATGGTCACTCAAGAGCATTTAAACAGCTATTATAAATATACTCCAGATGTTAAAAAGAGAATAGAAAAACTCATGAGCATGTTAAGGAAAGACATGGAAGATAGAAAAGACTGAAACGAAACTTCTAAAGATTAAATATATAATGGGATTAACAGATTAGATACTTCAGGAGAGATTAATGAACTTGATGATCACTTGACAATGGAAACTGTCCAATTTGACAGACAAAGAGAAAAAAAGACTTACAAAACCCCCGGACTGCTAGATAATATAATGTGGTCTAACATACAACTGGAAGCCCAGAGGGAAAGGAGAGAAGAGACAAAAAATAATTGAAGAAATAATAACCAAAGATTTTCCAAATTTGATGAAAACCATAAAACCACAGGTAAATAGCCCCAGCAGAAGAAGCATGAAAAAAACTACACCACGTACACCATAATCAAATTGCTTAAAAATCAAAAACTTAAAAGCGCCCAGAGAAAAAGAACACATTACATATAGAATAACAGAGGTAACAGTCTTCTGGCTGGAAACCACAATGGATTAACATCCATTACATTGGCAAAATTAAAAAGTCTAAAGTTAGGAGGTGTTAGAGGTAATGTGAAACAAATATAACACATAATGCTGGTAGAGCATAAAGTGGTACAGCCACCGCAGAATATGATTTGGCATTATCTTATAGAATGAAGATACCCACACCACATGACCAAGCAGGATCACTCCTGGACACACACTGTTCATAGCAGCATTGTTTGCAAACAGCAAAACAAACAAACCCCTAATGCCCATCCACAGAACAACTGTGGTCTATTCACATGAGGTCTGTCCAGAGGGTATCCAGCCATACAACATGAAAAATAGAGATACATATTGAAGAAGATACAAGAAACATTGTACATAGGGCAATGACACCTCAGTCCCCTTCAAAGTAGACACCTTGGGACCTCCTCAAAAAGTTCTGCCGATTGCCATCAGCTGCCCCATCCTATTTTCCTGAATCTCACTGACAGTCTGAAATCTCTTCCCTTTCAAAGGTGATTTCAGTTTGGGGAAAAGCCAGAAGTCACAGGGTGCCAAATCTGGGCTGTAGTGGGGCTGAGTCAGCTGGGTAATTTGATGTTTTACCAAAAAACTCTGCATGAGACATGATGCATGAGCAAGCATGGTGTCATGATGAAGCTGCCAATCACCAGTTGCCCATAGCTGCGGCCTTCTGAATCATCCGAATAGTCTCCACAGACGAATGTTCAAGCTTAACATAAAATTGGATGCAGACTTGTTGCTCTACTTAGTCATTTTGAATGCGACAGCCACACAGTACACAGGCTCACTCAATGGTGTCTACCACTCCCACTGACTGGTACAGTGAAGTCGTCATTGTTCATGCACGCGCATTCCAGTCCACTCTCCTTCACTGCCAGGTTACATCGATGTCAATGCTACACGAACCATTCTTGTTATTATTAACAAAGTCTGGACTTTTTCCAGACAGACCTCGTAAAACTATATGGCAATAAAAACAAGTGACTCTCAGAAAGTACTGTACTAAGCTGAATAAAGCAAGTCACAGAAGTGGGCATACATTATACCATTTATATAAATTCAAAACCATACAAAACTTACCATTTTGTTTAGGGATACATATGTTGCAAAACTATAACAAGCAAAAGAATAACAGACACAAAATTCATGATAATTATTACTCGAGAAGGACAGGGCACAAGTGACTTCTAAAATGAAGGGAATATTCATTTCCTAAGCTGGCTGATGGGTACATATTTATTATTTTTTGTACCTTATATAAATGGTATTTGTTTTTGTAGGCACGAAATACTTCATTTTGAAAGGCGGAAGATGTGAAAGACTTGAAAAATGAAGACTACTATTTATGTATAACAACAGAATTAGTGTAAAAAAGTATACAAAGAAAATGTTCAATTCTTTATTGTCTTTCTGTGCTCTACACAATCAGTATTAATATAAAAAGAAACATAATGAGAATGTGGGGGAAAAAACCAAGCAGAGTCTTTAACTGCTTTGACACAAATTCTGAACATCTATCACTCCAAGTTAGATAAGTAAATATTTTAGCCACTCCTGTATGATTTTTCATTCTCATCTGTACTTAGATCTTTCTTTATCTTTGGATTTCTTGGGACTCCTGCTTCGGTCTCTCTTTTTACTCCTTTCTCTTCCATGGGGGTCTGTCTGGTACTTGGATTTGTGACGATCACTGTAGTGGCTGTCCCTTTCTCGAGATCGGCTGCGACTTCGGTTTTGAGGTCGGTCTTTCTTTTCGCTCTTTTGTTTTTCCCGACAGCTTTCCTCTTCTTCATAGTGACCAAACCCCATTTCTCTGTAGATGTCCTGTCAAAGTAATAGAACATTACAAATAAATCGTAAAATCACTATCAATTAATAAAAGTTAGACAAGTCCACCATTAGCCAGTGGTTGTAATGGCTCAAATATGAACACTACCACTAATGCCAGAAATTTTGTACATTCAAAAGGAAAAATAATTCAGAAAAAGATTTTACCATTTTTCTTATCAATCTCATTGCTTTGTATCTACTATTTCAGCTGCAAGGAAGGATCAAATCCAAAGACAAGGAACTGAAACTGTCCAGCTGAAATCAGAACAGGTCTTTAGAGCAAAATTATAATACCAAAAGTCCTGGTTATGTGCGGTTACCTTTCCACCTCTCTCCTACTCCAGCTCCCCCAAAATGTGGACCCATAATTGATGTGCAAAAAATTCCCCTAAGAACCCTGTACACACTTCCAGTCAAGATGAAGGTGTAGGTAAACATGCTTCGCCTCCGCACACAACTTCAGCAAAAATTACAACTAGACTTCAAAACAAAAATTGCCCAGATTCGTCAGAAAACCGATCTGTGTGGAAATCTGACAACCACGGATGTAAAGAAGCCACATTCAGCCAGTCGGTGCCTTTTCTACTACAGGCCACAATACAAAGACAGGGAGTCAAAGCACCTCTACCTAACACACAGAAACAAACACAGGGCAGCTGCCAAGTGGAGGAGACAAAGAAATATGGCCCAAATAACAGAACAGAACAAAACTCCAGGAAAAGAACTAAATGAATTGGAGATAAGCAACCTATCAGATGCAGAGTTCAAACCACTAGCTATCAGGATGCTCAAAGAAATCACTGGGTACTGCAACAGCATAAAAAAGACCCAGGCAGAAATGAAGGTTGCATTAAGTGAAATAAAGAAAAATCTACTGGGAACCAAAAAGGGAAGGAAAAATCATTCAATCAGAACAAGAAGAAAAAAAAGAATTTTTAAAAAATGAGGATAAAATAAGATGACTCTGGGACATCTCCAAACATACCAACATCTGAATCATAGGGATGCCAGAAGAGGAGAAAGAGCAATACATTTAAAGCTTATTTGAAAAAATAAAGAAGGAGAACTTCCCTAATTCGGTAAAGGAAATAGATATACAACTCCAGGAAACACAGAGAGTACCAAATAAGTTGGATCAAAAGAGAACCACACCAAGACATATCATAATTAAAATGCCAAAGGTTAAAGATAAAGAGAGAATCTTAAAAGCAGCAAGAGGAAATAGCAGAGCTACCTACAAAGGAGTTCCCATAAGACTATCAGCTGATTTCTCAAAAGATACTTTGCAGGCTAGAAGTTACTGGCAAGAAGTATTCAAAGTGATGAATAGCAAGTACCTACAACCTAGATTACTCTATCCAGCAAAGTTATCATTTAGAATTGAAAGGCAGATAAAGCACTTCCCAAAGCAAAGCTAAAGGAGTTCGTCAACACCAAGCCATTATTAAATGAAATGTTAAAGGGAACTATATAAGAAAAATAAGATCAAAACTATGAACATCAAAATGGCAACAAATTCACAACTATCATCTGAATCTAAAAAAACAAGCTAAGCAAACAAGCAGAGCAGAAACAGAATCATAGATATGGCGATCATGTGGAGAGTTATCAGCTTGGAGGGGGGAAGGTACAGGGATGAAGAAGTACAAATTGCTGGGTACAAAATAGACTGGGGGATATTAAGAACAGTACAGGAAATGCAGTAGCCAAAGAACTTACATGCACGACCCATGGACATGAACTAAGAGGGGCACTACTGGAGGGAATGGGGGTTACTGGGTGGAGGGTGACAAAGGGGGAAAAACTGGTACAACTGTAACAGCATAATCAGTAAAATACATTACAAAAATAACACTTAAATAAACCAACCAATAAAAAGACATCATTAATTAGTTTATTTAAAAAAAAAGAACCCTATACAGAAGACATCATTTAAGTAACAGAGCTGGAAGAGGTTTCAGACAAGTCAGTCTAAAAAGAAAATAAAATATATACTGCATTCTTCAGTCTGCGTGATTATATTTAAAATGCTTATAAGAGCTCCTTTCCAAATCTTCAAAACAAAATTTTCTGTTTTAGACTAAGCTAATATGTTTTTATCAAAATCATTATTTTTTTTAATGCTCACTCAAGGTCCTTTTTAAAATTTCTTTTAGAGAGGAAGGGGAGGAGCGAGGAGAGAAAGAAACATTGATGTTAGAGAGAAATATGGAATGGTTGCCTTCTCATATGTGCTCTGACTGGGGATTGAACCTACAACCTGGGTATGTGCCCTAACCAGGAATCAAACCTGTGATCCTTTGGTCTACAGCAGATGCTTCAACAGAGCTGTACTGGCCAGGCAATCAAAATCATCATTTATATATTTCTTAAAAATGAGTTAAGTACTAGAATGAATAATTCATTGCCTCAAAGATAATAAAGTACATTTAATTCTATTCTTAATATTACATAGCAGTAGTAATTTTCCCACATAGCAGAGGGATAATTACAACAATTCTATTTCTGCTTGTATTCTACTGCTAATTAAAATGAGTTATCTCAGCATGTGGCTGAAATCTAAAAAGACCAGAGCCAATGTTCTTTCAAGAGATAGTTTGTAAAATCCAACTTTCTTAAAAGATTTCTCAGAGGAAAGGCAAAATCCTAAGGACTGAGCTCCCAAGGGTCCCAACTCTATCACCATAGATATTATTATAGTAGACATAAACATCAAGGTTTGAAATCTGGAGTGATGGATGCATTTTAAGGAAATGGTTTGTAATGACCCCACAGCCCATCCCAAGACCACCCATTAAGCCTGGCGTGAAGGCTGCAGGACGTGAACAGAGATCCAACACGATCACTATAATGAGTGTTTAGGAAATAGAACATTATAAACCGATCCATGATTTTCCATACAACCCCAGTAGTTCTTATCATTCTGTAAGAGTTCCAGAGGTAGCAAAATGAATTGGTAGTTGATTTAACTCTTTACCAATTATTTTCTAGCAAAATATAGTATCCTTAGATACAAAAAAATTTTTTGTGCTTCCTGTAATATACACAAAAGGTAGCCATGTGCAATTCTGCCTATATACCTAATTTCTGAATTGGCTGAGGCAATACTTTTAAAATAAAGAGATGGTTAGCTGATGTATATATAACTCTATAAAATCTCTAGCACATTATTACCTATATGGGCACCTAAATGCTTTGAGTGTTTAAAATGAGAGGTGGAGGGTTATGCAGTATTTAATTCTTCGAAAAAATTAAGAAACCTGAAATTCTGAAATGAACTGAAACCTTAAAACCTCTCCAACTTGGAGTAATTTCAAAGTTACGCAAGCTTTGAAGTAGGCAGCTATGGGTTTCAATGGTTTTTGCCATTTAGGAGCAGCACCAAACAAGAAATACTCGCGAAGTCCGATTTCTCAGGGAAGGTCTCACGGAGGAGTCAGGACTTGAGAGGAGCCTCAGAGGAGGAGAGGGCTGGGCTTTGGGTTTGGACAGACGGTGAGAAGGCGAGCCAAGCCGTGTAAGTGAAAGCTGAAGAGCAGGGAAGGACTCACACTGTGAGCACGAAGGAGAAGCCTGGTGCCTGGGTGAAGCCGTGCTGGAACAGACCGTCCGAGTACGGGCTAGCACAGTGCTCAGTGCCTCTGGAGCACAGTGTCATCCTCATCTGGGAATAAGAACCTGAGGCTTGACATCTGCACACACTGAAAGTAATTATTTAATTGATCAATAATTTGATATATAGAACTGAAATGGGGTGATACAGAATAATGAAAAAAAAAAAACAAACCAAACAAACCCCACATCTGACTGAGTCAAAATAAGCATTAAAGTTCCAGCTCTCCCATTAAGCTATAACATAAAGGCCCACAGGCCTGTGGGGTCAGGCTCTTCATATCTAAGGTGAAGGAAATTAATCAGATGAGCTCTAAGTCCTTCCCAGTACAGACTTTCAAAAATTCTTACCATTTTACACATTTAAGACATAAGAAAGATGATTAAACTAGCATGTGGCTTAAAAAGAAAGAAAAAAAATACCATAAAATGGCCAATTTAAAGCAACCAACTTAACCTAGCTAATGATTTCAAGTAAGGCAGTCAAAAAAAAAAAAGAATGTCTAATCTAACTAAAAATTATGCTTGCTCTGGTCTCTGGGATGAAATCTAAGACTCAGTTAAATCTAAATCACTGAAATAACATTAAGGGATTAAAATTACAGCAAAAATAGAGCCCCAAGTTAGAAGAACACTGAACACCTATGAAAACCACAGAGGAAGATTGACAACGAGTATGAATACGTCTCACAGGCAACCCACAGCGGGGTGCTCACTTCCTGCACCCCAGTAAAACCCCAACCTCAACAGAGAGAAACCACCTCTGGAATTAAGACATGGGGTGGAAAAATTAAATAGAGAAGTTTTCGAATTGAACAATAAGGCTGTCACTTAATAAAAAACAAAGAGCTTGAAGAAAGAAGTTAAAACATTCTTAGGAAACGAGGCTCACCAAACAAAATGCCAACAAATTGAAAAATCTGAGCTATACCCCAAAATTACCTCATATTAAAAATTCACTGTAATGATTATATTTTTGAGACTGAAATCAAAAGGATAAAAATCAGAGTAATAGAAAAAATTTGGGGTTGACTGAAACCATAAATATATATGTTGTTGTTTTATTAGAAAGAAAATTAGTTTAGCTATATTATTAAATAAAAGTATAAAATTTAAAAACTTGCTCTAACTCATGGATACAGACAAAAGATTGGTTGGTGGTTACCAGATGGGAAAGGGGGTCAGGTGTACGGTGATGAACTGACACTAGACTTCAGATGTGGAGCTCACTTTGGTGTACACAGATGTCAAATCACAATGTTGAACCTGCCCTGGCTGGTGTGGCTCAGTGGATTGAGCGCTGGCTTGTGAACCAAAGGGTCACTAGTTCGATCCCCAGTCAGGGCGCATGCCTGGCTTGTGGGCCAGGTCCCCAGTTGGGTGCTCTCCAGAGGCAACCACATATTGATGCTTTTCGGCCCTATCTTTCTCTTTCCCTTCCCTTCTCTCTAAAAATAAATAAATAAAATCTTTAAAAAAAATAATGTTGAGCCTGAAACTTACATAATGTTACCAATCAGTGTTACCTCAATAGAAAAAACCCATTTGCTTCGATACACTTTGAGGGAAGAAATAAAGTTAGATTATTTTGACTTTAACAATTTTATAGTTGTCAACTACCTTAAAATTCTTGAAAAAATACTAACATTATTCCCCAAAAATATCATTTGATACTTTTTACTCTGCCCAAACGAGGATATTTGCCACTGTAAGGTTTTGAGTAAGCCAACGACAGGATAAAAATGATTTACAAAAAGGGGGAGAAATAACAGACTCAAAATGCAGCCAGTCCTTTGATTTTCTTTAAACCTCGGATCTCAGACACACCAAGGTACGCCTCAGGCCTGGACTCACTGGCGAGCCCGTGCACCTGTGCGGGATGGCGCGCTACAGCTGAAAGAGGCGTACACAGGCTAGGGGCGAGAGTTAAGGGTTTTATTGGAAAACATTAATATTCACCTATGCGATGCAGCCACCATTAAAAAGCAGCTAATTTTATAACAGAGTACAGACACTAGGAGGAAGACATTCCTACTAGATCGTGCTGGACTGTTGCACTCTGGGACAAATTATATTAGATTAACAACAGGTTTTAAAAAAGAAAACAAACAAATACATTCCGGGTAAGAAGAGCAGCAGTGGAGTCCTCAGGAGCGCAAGGCTGAAGTTAAACTGTGCCTCTGCTCTCTATGAACCACGTAAGACTGTGGCCGAGCTGCCTCCCTCCTCGGTGTTCACGCCCTCTGTTGTGGGATGGGGGCAACAGCATCCACCTCACCGTCCAGACTCGGAGGGTGTCAGCTGTTCCTGATCCTGGTGCGGATGACTTGGGGGGCCAACAAAGGTGCACCTTCAAAGCTGATGCCAGGGCACGCGGGATGGCAGGCCTGAAACCACCAAAGGGCTATGCAAAGCAGAGGTTATACCTCCGGCTGGACGACAGCAGGAGGAGGAACACGTGTTATCCGGAAAACAGGGGGCTAAGGATATGTATATATAAAAAAAACATAGGCCTGCTGAAAAATTTTTAAATGAAGAAGAAATCATGAACACATAGGATAGTTAACTACATGGGCGAAGGTGGAGAGGACAGGGACAGAAGCTTAGTTCTCTGCATGCACCACTTTGTTTACTTTGGAATCATATAAATGACGTTTAAAAGTACAAAACAAAAAATTTTTAAAGCAATCCTTAAACGTCAAAAAAGAAATTAAACCAAATACAAATCCAACTAAAAAGTACTCCAATGGACTTAAAACACAGTGATTTACTGTCACAGTAAAAGGAGTAACAAAAGCCAGGGTAGAAAATGACAGCACACGTGTTGTGTTCATTCGACCTGAACACCATGGCTGAGAAGTATTATCTCAGCTCCACAGAGGAGGAAGCTGTGGCTCAGAAAGGCAGCTTGTTGGGATCACATCAGTGACTAGCAGTGTGGAAACTTAAGCCCAGCTTTTACAGCGAATGCTCCCCTGCGCCCACCACACTGCATCTCTCTGTTTGTGTCTCTGCTGACATCCTCCTCGCCCACCAGGGCCCAGCTCAAATGTCTACGTGTGGTGGAGTGAATGCAATGAGCTGCGGTGTAACTGGTTCTGCGCTTAGCTGAGAGCCAAAATGCAGGCTGGAAATGCGTTCTTCTCTTTATAATCAATTCTCTTTCAGGAACTTTTACTATTATCATCTTTGAAAACGTATTGTTCAGAAAAGCTTTTGGGATTATCAAGTTAATTATGAGTGCTGTTTTTATTTCATATACACAATACAAAAGGGAATAAGTGTCTTGCAGGTCCTAAGCCCTCCCAAGCTGTTAAGTGCTGTGCATAACACTGGTGATAAGACGCTAAGTGAGAAGAGCTGTTTCGGCACAAGCACACTTGCCTTCAGTGGGAACAAATGAGCATCCCACAGGTGGTATGGAAACTGCTTGCTTTACAATGTGGAACTATATACTGAGTTAATTCAAAAGTAATCTTTCATAATCTGTGATGCATATTCTTGAAAATTAAAGTTCATCTCCCCACTGAAACCATTCTACACTTTAGAGTTAGAACATGCCCATCACTGACATGCAATTCACAAAGGGATAAAACATTTACTTCTCCACAGCTGAGTCTGGACATCGGAAGTACCTGATTAGTATTTTTGACTGGCAGGTAGTCCTCTTCTTCTCTTTCTTCAGAGCAGTGACGAGTTTTCTTCTTGTGTTTTTTACTGGCATGCGAGTGACTTGATTTTGAGTCTTCCGCCTGCTCATCCAGGATAAGGTCATATTTTGCACTGCAGCAGCTGGTTAAGGCAAATGTGAGAACTGACACCAGGAATACACCAAAACCTAAGAGTCAGGTGAGCAAACGAGACCAAGACGGGAAAGGTAACTTTTTAAAGGAAAAGCACCTTACAAGCATAGTTTATTTCTAAAACAAAAGAGACTTATACATTTCCGTTCCACAATCAGAAAAAAAATGGAAAGAACCTTGCTTGTACATAAGCAGCTAACAACTGGTAAGTGGACAAAAAATATGGCGGGGGGGAAAAAAACTATATATCCACAAATGAAATATAAGAAGCTATAAAAATAAGGAAACATTTGTCAATAATGAAAAAACTTAAACTTAGAAAATGAGGCACATGTTTAACTAAAAAAAAAAATTAAGATAACACAAACTCCAATGCCAGAAAAGCAACATAAAATGTATATTCATGTGACTCTTCTTCTGAAGAGTAAAAGTAGTTCAACCCTATAGAAGGAAACTTAGCAATGCATACCCATGGTTGCCATGCTTAGAGTCAAGTAACAATTTATTTTAAAATCAAGTTAAATGAAAGCTTACATCATAGATTATTTTTAAAATTAGTTTATTGTTGTTCAAGTACAGTTGTCTGCATTTACCCCCAACCACTACCCCCCCATCCCAGCCATCCCCACCTCCCTCCCCTGCTTCTACACCCCCTTGGGTTTTGTCCATGTGTCCTTTATAGTTATTCCTGAAAACCCTTCCCCCATTACCCCCTCCCACCTCCCCTCTGGTTACTGTCAGATTGTTTTTAATTTCAATGTCTCTGGTTCTGTTTTGTTTGCTTATTTGTTTTGTTGATTAGGTTCCACTTAAAGGTGAGATTGTATGGTGTTTGTCTCTCACCACCTGGCTTATTTCATTTAGCATAATGCTCTCTAGTTCCATCCATGCTGTTGCAAAGGGTAGGAACTCGTTCGTTCTTTCTGCTGCATAGAATTCCATTGTGTAAATGTACCACAGTTCTTTAAAAAATATTTTTATTTCTTTTTAGACAGAGGGGAAGGGAGGGAGAAACATAAATGTTTGGTTGCCTCTTGCAGGCCCCACACCAGGGAACCAGGCCTGCAACCCAGGCATATGCCCTGACCAGGAATCGAATCAGCGACCCCTTGGGTCACAAGCCAGTGCTCAATCCACTGAGCCACACCAGTTGGAGCTACCAGTTTTTTGATCCATTCATTTACTGATGGGCATTTAGGTTGCTTCCAGCACTTGGCTACTGTAAATTGTGCTGCTATGGACATTGGGTTGCACAGGTTCTTTCAGATTGGATTATTTTTTATATTAAACTGGGAACAACAAAAAGCCTAGTAATAAATATATATTTAATTATATTGTAGTGCTTCAATGCAACATATTACTTTATAAAGGAAGTTATTAACAATGATAAGTGAATGCTATGAAAAAACCTGGGAAGGTGTTTATAAAAAATTAAAAGTGAAAAAACCTTAAAACAAAAACCATATATACCGTATGGTGATTATAACCTCACAAAACTTTATAAAAGATCAAGGCTTGACAGGAACAAGGGGAAATAAATATCAGTTGTCTAGATAGTAGAATGGTGAGTGAATTTTTAAAATTTCACAAAAAAGTTATAAAAATTATAATAATGTTTTAATTCCGAGACAAGTATTTTCTCTAATATAAACAAAGCTAAACCATGTCTTCCAGTAAGGGGAAATGTAAAACTACTATAGCCTCTGCTGACAAAAATCTCGATTTCTAAAACAGATTTGGGGAAGGCGAGAGGAGTGGTTTTCAAAAGAAAGCTTATGAGGAAGCCCAACACGCAGGGTTCCTCTAGTGGCGAGCGGGACAGAGGAATCGCAGACACACTTCCCACGGGGACAGTTTCATGTCTGGTTTCACACTTCCAGTCCACGCTGTCCTCAGGGATGACACACCTTTACCCAAGATTAGCCAGGAAAACAGCACCTTTTCTGCTTTTCAAAAGATGGCTTAAGACGGCTTGTCAGCCTGGACTACCCCATTATTACTGTGTTATCTCTAACTTCTTTTCTCCTTTATACTATGTCACCCTACGTCACACTGTCTCCAGAGTAGCTTCTGCATCTTCTCCTTTCTCAGACACAAATTCAATAGTTCTTGCCTACGATTTCACCTTAGTGTGTTGCATTTCACATGCTTCTCTCTCTGTGCAAAAGGCTTTAAGAGAGGTGTTCCTCACCCTGGCTGGTGCAGCTCAGTGGATTGAGCGCTGGCCTGTGAATCAAAGGGTCGCTGGTTTGATCCTAGTCTAGGGCACATGCCTGGGTTGCAGGCCAGGTCCCAGTAGGGGGTGCATAAGAGGCAACCACACACTGATGTTTCTCTCCCTCTCTTTCTTCCTCCCTTCCCCTCTCTCTAAAAATAAATTAAATCTTTAAAGAGAGAGAGAAGAGAGAGAGAGAGGTGTTCTTCAAAATGCTGATAACAATCCATCAGTGGAGTGCAAAATCCACTTAGTGGGTCACAGCCAGCATTTTTCTAATGACACAGACTAGGAAATAGACTGCATGGCATCAAAGAAGAACATGGGTGCATGTGAATGACTGTATTTGGGTCGTGCCGGGTCAAGACATAAACTGTATTTCTTAAATGACATAGGACAGTTAAATAGCACCCCACCTCTGCCCTCCACACCTCAGCCCTCCTCTCCCCCATATCCAAGCTGCAGCTTCAATGTCACTCCTTTTAGTGTTATTGAGGGTCTTCTCTGACCCTTGCCTCTATTAAAAATCCCATATCCCACAAATGTACTTCTTTGCAATACTCTATAGATTTATTTAATTCATGGCATTTATTTAAGGTCTGTTCTCCAGCCCCCACAACTCCAACAGCAAAACATAAGGTCTGCCCTGACCAGGTGGTTCAGCTGGTTGGCACATCATCCCGTACACCAAAAGGCTGTGGGCTCGATCCACGGTCAGGGCACGTACCTAAATTGTGGGTTCGATCCCAGGTCAGAGCACACACGGGAGGCAACTGATCAGTGTTTCTCTCCCTCGTTCTCTAAAGTCAGTAAACATATCCTCAGGTGAGGATTTAAAAGAAAAAGTATATGTAAGCAGGGGTTATGCTCACTGCTACTCTGAATATGTAATCGACGCCAAAGAAGTACTTGTGGATGATGTTTTGCCACGAAGACACTTGCTGTATGTCTTCCTCCTCACTTATCTCGTCTCCCACTCACCACTACGAACAACACTTCCAGAAGATGTTAAATCTCTACAAAATCACTTGAATGAAACACTAATTTGTGATCTGACTTCTTTCCCCAGTTTCTTCCCTGAGCTCTGGTCTGGCCAAGTTAAACTTGCTTCTACTTCTACTTTATAATCTTCCTATCAACAGTCTATATTTACAGCAATTTTATTTTCTTTCAAGATGAAAAAAGTGTGCCTTTTTAACTGACTTAAGACAACTTATCTGCACATTAGATTATCCTCTGAATCCCCTTTCCTTGCCATAGTAACAAAGAAACAATAGATAGTATGATGTGGAAAATATATATTTTCATTACATATTACAAACACGTTTATGTTTTATCCCTCCTCTATTATTGTTCCCAAGATTATAAATGCCTCACTAAAACAAAACCTCTCAACCACCCAGAACATAAAGACCATCCCACGGGGTCAGATTCATGGATTTCCTTTTTCTTGTTCAGTATTCTGATTGAAAATAATTGCAGTGGTTTATACCAAAACATGTTTGTCTTCTCCATCAACTTCAAAACACTACAGCAGGCACTGTTCAATATCAGCTACATGTGATTATTTAAATTGAAATAAAATCAAACAATTTTAAATTCAGTTCCTCAATCCATCATGTGCCCAATAATCACACGTGGTCGGCAGCTGTAGGAGACAGTGGAGGTCAAGCAGATTTCTATCACTGCAGAAAGTCCTACTGGACAGAACTGGGCTAGAGATTTATTTATTCTCAGTCACGCCTAGTTTCCTCTCTTCACTCTTAGGAATCGATCACCTTGAATTTCAAACACTATAATACTATGTACTCTTTTATCTCAGCCTGAACTACTTCCGTGGGGAAAAAGACACCTCCTTCCACTTTATATTCTACACCTGCACCTCCTTTTATCTGTCCTCTTACACCCCCTTCTTCCATTGCAGTTACTACTGGTTATCCTAAATTTAATTTTAAAATTTGATAACTAAATCTCAAGTGTATTTCATCCAGACCTTTTATGATTTTAAGATTTCAATCATATCCCCCATAATGTTTATCTTTTCAGACTAAGTCTTAGCTCTGGTCCGGTCACTGGCAGGTGAAAGCCTCCCCCCACCCCGCTGCCTGTGTGAGCACACTGCAGACTTCACCCAGCTCTAACCTCTTACAGCACTCTGTGTGTTGTAGCCAATTAACATGTTTTTTTAAAATGAGTATGTAACAGGCCAACCCGATATTCATCCTTCTTTGACGACTACTTGGAAAAGAAACATCTCTGCAGCATGGGAAAGGAGAATCCCAAAAGCACCAGCAGAAACTGGAGAACAAAGGAACCATTTACAGAAAGAATCACAAAAGAAGTAAGCTTTGCAATGTGAGGAGTGATAGATTTATAATGAGAATATTAATGCAAAAATTAAAATTACATAATATGAACAGTATGTTTCCTTGCTTCTTGCTTGTCTCAACTGACTACTTAGAAGAACCTAAATAAAACGGTCAAGTCAGCGGATCTCCTTAACCCTACAAAAGTCAACTCTTGTACACCAGGAGCCCCACAAGTACTTGTTGCTACATGGACGATGTTCTAAGCAGAAAGAAGCAACCAAATTATATAAAAGAACAACAGAATTTTGATGTCTACATGTTCACCATCTCCAAAGTTAAATATATGAAGAAGGTTGAGCATAAAGGATTTAGCTTAGCTATAATAAAGAAATGTCTGACCGTGAGGAATTTAGAACATTATATAGAGAAAATATGAATCTTACCTGAAAACCTTCTGAGAATAGGTGTTAACTTTAACCTAAGAGTAGGGAGAGAAAAGACATAGGCTAAAGATTCATTTCAACCCTAACTTTCTCCATAGAATAGAGAATATACTGAAAACCAAATGAGTCCTTCACAAACCATCTGGATTCGAGAACTTTTTCTATAGCCTTTGTGACTTTTTATAACATATCACCCAGAACTTCACACAGAGCCGATGGCCAACACACACTGCCTGACTGCTTGCGAAGGATACTCCTGTTTGGGCTTCACTTTGTCTTTCAGGACCAAATTAGACGGTTTAGCTTGTTCCTTTTCATACTCCTTGAAATCACTCTTGGTATATTTTCCACCTGTTTATAAAAAAAATAACTTAGTAAGAAAAATCACCTAATTAATCAAGGACAAAAATTACTTAATAAAAGGTATAATATATAAGTGCTATTTTAGAAGTGGCATATATATGAGGGGATAGAAAAAAGGCTGAAGACAAAAGAATTACAGGAATTCACTCTCCACACCACTTTAACTGGCAGGCGTATGCTGCCATCTAATGAAATATGTCAATATTACACCACCATACTCTCAAATCTTACATGACAGTGCAGAATGCACTGGAAAATAGTGCAGTACTTAAGTAGAGCCATTACGTCCATGAGAACATCAGGTCCAAAGGAAACCAAGGGTTTGGGACTTAAGCCTGAGATCTGAGAGGCTTACAAGTTTGGAAGAAGTGAGGCTTTGACCGGTGACCTGTCAGAAGAGACCCTGCCCCGAACCTGGAACAGCGCAGCGAGCAGCGGGGAGGCAGGGTGTGTGTAGAACTCGCTGAGAGAGGCGAGGTGGGAGGGCCGGTGAGAGCACCGAAGACCGCCTGTCTCTGCCTTGAAATTCTGGCCTAAGAGTGCTTTTATTCCTCTTGCGTGCCCAAAATAAAATCAACAATAGCCCCTCCCGAGAAACAGGACCTACTGTTAACTCCTGAGCGGCCCGCAGCGGCGGGGCCAGGAAAGGAGCTCCGTGCAGCCCCTCTGCTCTCCAGCCCGGCCTCCCACCAGAGGAGGGTCGGCTCCCACCAGCGTCCCAGACCTGCGCCTGCCCAGCCTTTCCTGTCCCTTCAGCAGCCACGAGGCCACGCTTCCAGTGGGAGGTCCAAGACTGAGTGTGCACGGAAAGTGGAGGAACACAGGGAGGGGTTTTGACCGTCAACCCTATATACATCTTGACTGTTGCCAGGATCTTTAAACAAAGGAGAAAATAGAAACTAAAAGGGCGAGCGAGGTGGGAATCAAAGACAGGACTGCTCCTGAAACAGAAATGACCGGGAGACGATGTTTCACATACAAGGGAACTCTGTAGCGGGAACTCTAACAAACACTCCATCCCCAGGACAACTGCGCCGTGCCAGGAGTTTCACGGTGGAGGCAGCAGCTACGGTGAAACGGAGAGCAAGGGACCAAACAGCGAGGCGTTCCCCATTCACATCCTGACTGAGTGACAGGTCCCAGAGAAGACATTCCAACCCTCTGCAACTCTCTCCTCACTTACACCCCGAAAATGACACCAACCCTTCACAGAGCTGCTGGCCTCATTACATAAGACTGCATGGGAAATTACGCGGCACTGTGAGTGGTACACAGCACACATTTATTCAATGTGAATCCATAATACACAAAATCACTCAAAATTAACTGAGATTAACAACAAACTACAAGTTTAGGATGGCATATGTAAAAGTGAAGCATCTGTCTCCTATGTGATATTTTAATTTAGAAAAACCATGAAGAAATTCACTTTGAAGTCAATAAACTACACTGAAACTACTTAGGAAAGCTGTATCATTTCTTCAGTGGGTGGACAGGTTAAGAAGAGACAGAATTGAGGGGAAAAACTAGATTTAGGACCTGTTTAAAGCATCAGTTCATGTGACCCTGGATAAATCACTTCACAATGTTACACCTCAAATTTCTTTCCTGCGCTGAGGCACGGCAGCCACCCTTGTTTCACACACGTCCCCAGCGGCAAGCTTAGATGAGCTCTCGGGGGGAAGGTGCAGAGGAGCCCGGCTGGGCTGCACTCGTGGACCAGGACGCGCTGGGTGGGGCCAGCAGCTCGTCTGTCGTTCCCGAATGTACTTGTTTGATTCTTTCGTTCCCACAGCTGCATTTATCACACGCAAAAAACACTTCTTCGTGCCTCAACTTAGTTTTCCCAAGTCACTCAAAAGAGACAGGAGTGTCAAAATCTAGTCATGCAGTCTAGCAGGAGGAAGGCTTCGTGGGAGAAACCACGAGTACAGGGCACCTGGACCCAAGTCGCTCTCCTGCCACGGAGAGCACGGCTTCCACTGCGCCTGCCTGGCCTAGTCCAGTCATTCATGATTGCGCCGTTCTCGAACTCCCGTAACATAACACAACTACCAAACAATTCAGCACATCACTCCCAAGTGAAACATCATTATAATCGTTGGAAATAGAGAAAAAGTGTTATAGAAAAGAATGTAATCCCAGAATTCCTAGTAAAATGTAGCATTACATGGTAAATAACTGCCCAAGCGAAGTCTTCTATATGTACCACAACTTTTTTATCCACTGGTCGATATGAAATCATTAACACTGCATCAAAAATCAAAACCCCATATTATTTCAGCATGCCAGAGACTCAACCTTAAGTCTGACATGCCAAATTTATTTGACATAAATAGATACAAATATAAGATATATACGGAATTTCATATATATATATAGCCCTGGCCAGTGTGGCTCAGCTGGCTGGTGTATTGTCCTGTAGACCAAAAGGTTTCGGGTTCAATCCCTAGTTGGGTCATGCACAAGAGGGCAGCCCATCGACGTTTTCCTCTCTCTTCCCCTCCCTCCCTCCCTCCCTCTCTAAGGCAATGAAAAAATACCCTCGGGTGAGGATTAAACCATAAATGGCAAGAGTTATATCACAGAGCACTTCTCCTAATTAATAACACTAAATCAAAAGAGATACACACACACACACACACACACACACACACACACAACCATGGAAAGCAAAACAGAAACAAAAAAATAAACCAACATACCTTTTCCTTTCCATTTAACCTTTGCAACAGACTGGCTAAAATCCACATGTATTCTTCTGTCATCTATAAGGACATTGTCCATTTTGAAGAATGCTTTCTCACAATCTTCTTCCTGGCAATAATTACAAAAACTTAAGCATAAATCTTTATGAAAAAGATTTTTGTAGCTAGGACAAATACTAAAAATATAAACAGTTTGCTGTTACTAAAACAAAGATTTGAATGCTTATCACGCACCAAATGCTGTTAAATACTTTGCATCTATTACTTCAGTTAACTCTGAAAACAACTGTATGAAGTACTAACTATTATTGTCTTGCATTTTCTCAAAGAGAAGAGAGAAGTTCAGAAAGGAACAGAAGAGCCAAAGCTCACACAGCTGGCCAGGGTGAGGCCAAGATTTGAACCAAGGCCGTCTGACTGCAGTGGACACACACATATATGCTTACCAACTGTCTTATACAAGTCCACCATCCCTTTTAGTCAACACCCACTGTTATCCTGAAAACCGACAGATGTTTTTATGAATCTGATACTAAATCCATCTGACAGCAAAACCTAACCTAATGGGAGGCCATGGCCTTAAGTTATCCCACTGTGCACGACTATTCCTTCGTTTAAGTGAAGAAGTATTTTTGTGATTGATTACAGAATGCAGGCCCACAGAAGTTCTATGTAATTCACGTGTGTACACACGCACACAGCATTATCACAGTGAAATACCATATGCCAATAAAAATTGACAAAGGAAAAGTTAACAAGAGCTTCATGCAATAACATGTATAAATCTTACAAAACACTGAGCCAAGTGAAGCTAGAAACAAAAATATACACCTGTTTCCATTTGTATCAAGTTTAAAACTAGACAAAACCAATCTATGATGTCGGAAGCGGCAGTGATGGGGAAGTTATCTGCAGGGCACACAGAAGGGCTTCTGGAGTCAAGATCACGTTTTTCTGCTAATGTTTTATCTGTGGGTCCAGGTGATGGTTCACATGGATGTACTGACTGTGGTAACTCATCAAGCCGTTTACTCAAGAGCTACACATTCTCTGTATGTAGTTTACTCTTCAGTTTAAAAACTTTTGGATCATATTATCCAAAACATATAGAACTTGTCACACATGGAAAAAATGCAGACTAAATGATGAACACTTACAAAAAGGCTACTGGCCGTAAGAATTATGAAGCAGAATGATGTAGTTTAACCTGATTTTCAAGAAATGATAAAAGTCACAAAAGACCCACCTCAAAAACTGAAATGCTAAATCATGAAAAAGAACTCATAGATTCTTTAAAGTTGAACTGAGCTGCAGATTTATGGGAAATGAATATTCATGCAGAAGACTGAGAAATATAGGCAGTTTAGGTGCTATAAAAGAAATAACTATTTTTCAGACTATCAGACGCACCCCCCCAAATCTGGGAGAAATATTGGTTGTTAATGCTGCTGTTGAATTCTGTTTACATTTACATTGGTGAACTATTATGTTATTTATGTTATTAAATATTCTACCACATTTTTTGCTTCAAAATTTGTTTCCCACCTTCCTCTTCTAAAACCTAGGTGTATCTTATGGTCCAAAAATACAGTGTATTTGTGAGCAAATAAATAACATATCCCACGGTATCAACAACAGGATGACAATGGCGAGCCTACAGGTGGTATCATAGCAAACCAAAGAGATCTCCTCCCTGCTGGCACAGAGGCACCCTGCAGACACCCTTTCTGGACCCCTGACAGTATTGAGGTCAAATCTGGTAGGTGTCTGTCTTACCAACCCTCCTTTATTCCTCTTGTGGTCCTAGGACTTATCACACTGAAACATAAGAGGTGTTCAATAAATGCTTCAGAATAACTATAACTTAGACTGAGCTACAATTGGACACGCATTGGTCCAAAGCTGCATAAACTAGCATAGTAGCAAAAAGCAATGTGAGCTGAGTCAGATATATATGAAGTTCAGATCCCAGCTATGGCATTCACAAAGTGCATGGTTTTAAAAGAGCCACACCACCACTGTGCATTTCAGTTAAGTTACTTGGAGAAGGAGGACAGTATCTACCTCACAGAGTTGTAATGAGGAAATGCATGTCATGTAGCATTTTGCCTGGCTTAAAGACAGTTATTTGAGTAACATAAACTATCATTATCATTTTAGACCCAGAAGGGACCATCTAATCCAGCACTCAAGTTTCATTTATAAGGAAGTTAACACCTGGAAAAAAGAGCTCTAAACTGCCAAATGCTGTGTAATAGCTGTTCAGTGACAAAGCTTGGATTAATAGCTAGAACTTAATACCCAGTCCAGTTCTTTCTCTACTCAACTATATATATTTATCTACATAGCACTGAAAAATCATTTATAGAATGGGAAGGACTTTCCCTAAAACTTTACAAAGTTTTAAAGATACATGAATGCGGATTGCACCTGAACCTAATGTAAACATACATATATTAACGTCAACAGATGTTGAATCTATCCCCTGTTTGACTATAATAAAGTTATTTTTCTTTGGTGCCTAAAGAAAGGACACAGTAATTTTCTAATCTTAGAGACTAGAAAAGTTCTATAATTTGTCACATTTTAAAGCCATGTAAGAACAAAAAGATTATCAAACTTAATAGATCTATATCATGACCTACCTTTTCAAATTCAATAAAAGCATAACACAGGGATTCTCCTGTCTTCCAGTCTCGAATAACTTCACAACTGAAAGTTTGCAAAAAGTGACTTTAAAAAAAAGCATTTACTCTCACTCTTCAAAAGTGAACAAAAAATAAGACAGTTATTAAAAGGCAAAGTTAATTTCACAGAACTATTTTTTCCAAATTTCTTCCATAACAACTAAAAAAAAAAGTTTACCAGTCCCCTAATTATAGATCTAATTCCACTCTAAATGCCTATGTAGACCTACAATTCTAAATTCCCAGCCCTGGCTGGTATAGCTCAGTGGATTGAGCACAGGTTGTGAACCAAAGGGTCACTGGTTCAATTCCCAGGCAGAGCACATGCCTGAGTTTCGGACCAGGTCCCCAGTGGGGGCCACATGAAAGGCAACCACACACTGATATTTCTCTCCCTCCTTTCCCCAAAAATAAATAAATAAAATCTTTAGAAATAAATAAAAAAAATAAATTCCCAAAGAATTGAAGGAAAAATAAGACAAAAATATTTAATTTTCCTGTGGCAAAAGTGAACTATTGCTAAAAATATCTTAAAATCATAATTCACTTCTAGTTCCCAAATGCAGATAAATTATATAATATAATGTTACTGTTAGAATAATGTATGCGCACTTATACATATATACACGTTTAGTAAGTTTATGCCCTGGAGGTTCTGAATTTTAGTATAAGCCAAGCTCAAATTTAACCCCACAAGTACAGCTATTCTGCAGAACGAATCCGTCTTAACAAGCAAGTGAAAGGAACAAAAAGGTGGAGTTGAAACCAGCTGGCGTGTCCCTTCGCTTATGTATCCTAGTCTCACTTTACATTAAATGATACAGAAACATAAAGCATTGTGGGAAAAAGGAAAGTAACCACATTATAGCATATGTTCGGCTGTTCCAGTATTTACATACCCATCAAGATGTAAACATTGAACAGCGACCTCACCCAAGTTACCACAACCAAAGAAGGATGAGGAAAGAATAAACCTGGGACGTTAGTGACAAAGGTAAAACCCTCATCTTCCCTAGCAGGAAGTCAGTATATAATGTCTAAAATTAAACATAAAAAGTAGCAGTACAGAAATTTTTTTTATAAAGATTTTATTCACCTATTTTTAGAGAGGGAAGGGAGGGAGGGAAGGAGAGAGAGAGAGAGAGGGAGAGAGAGAGAGAGACATCAATGTGCGGTTGCTGGGCATCATGGCCTGCAACCCAGGCATGTACCCTAACTGGGAATCGAACCTGTGATACTTTGGTTCGCAGCCCGCGCTCAATCCACTGAGCTACACCGGCCAGGGCCAGAAATTTTTTTTAATAAATATGATATACTGTAAATGGGTGAAGGAATAAAGCTGGGTAGTTGTTTATAGAAAGATATTTCTTTCAACAAGAATAATTAAGGGCAAAAAGCATGAAATTCTAAACATTAAATAATACTTTTTAATTAATTAAGTATTCCCTTTCTCATAGAAATATTACCTTTGTAGACTTTTGTATTAATACTGTAGAGGAAATTAGCCAAAAGAAAAATTTGGGAAAATGTAGATTCAAATTAGTTTTGATATAGATTGCTGGTAAATCTAGAGAGAATATAAATAAATATTTTCAATATTAACGAAGGTTATTGAGAATACAACAGAACTAGGCTTAAACTATTCCATTCACTCCCGTGAAAATCTGTTGGAAGTGGGAGAACCATTCAACTATATATGCAAACCTACGTGTACAAATTTTTATACATACTTATACACATATATATATTTCTCTTCCCTACTGTCACCAGTACAAAATTCACCTAGAGTTCATAGATTCACCAGACACATGTCAGAAAACCACTTTCACTCATTCTAGAAATTACCTTCTTATTGGCCCAAATCTTGAGAATATTATCTCTAGATCTTCATCTGTGGTCACTGGATTCAATTTACACACAAACAGCACATTTTCTGGAGGTTTAATATCTGCATCAGGTAGGTCTCCCACCTAAATTATAAATAAACAAAAATATCAATTAATTCCTTTATTCAGTTTCCATTCTAAATATTATATCAAATGTTCCCCCAGATGACTTCATATTATTAGTAATATAAAGGAGTGTTTTATTTATTTATTTATTTATTATTTTTTAAAGATTTTATTTATTTTCAGAGAGGGGAAGGGAGGAAGAAAGGCAGGGGGAGAAACATCAATGTGTGGTTGCCTCTCAGGTGGCCCCCACTGGGGACCTGGCCTGCAACCCAGGCATGTGCCCTGACTGGGAATCGAATTGGTGACCCCTTGGTTTGCAGCCCATGCTCAATCCACTGAGCCACACTAGCTAGGGTGAGAAGGAGTGTTTTAAAGTACGCGGTTCTACCCAGGTTTATTTTGTCCTATAACTACTATTCTACTATTCAATTTCAATACTTAAGTTGTACAAAAACTTACTCATTAATATACATAAAATTTCTTTCAAGAAATACTCTTTAAAAATGATGAGTAACTCTGGCTGGTGTGGCTAAGTGGACTGAGTGCCAGCCTGAGAACCAAAGAGTTGCCAGTTTGATTACAGCCAGGGCCTATGTCTGGGTTGCAGGCCATGTACCCAGCAGGTGGTGCTCAAGAGGCAACCACACACTGATGTTTCTCTCCCTCTCTCTCCTTTCCCCTCTCCAAAAATAAATAAATAAAACCTTTAAAAAAATAACTTTAAGAAATTTTTTTAAAAATGAAAAATAAAAATGAGTACAGCAATAGATCCATTTAATATCTGTAAGTTGAATATCTACTTTCTATTCTTAAAAAAGGGACTTAGCACTATATTAATAGTGGAATCGAGTTTATTTACTTTCACATGTGTTATTATATCATGCAATACTTAATCCAGAAAAATACTTGGCTAAATTTCTATATTTTAAGATTATCAAAAAGCCAGAAATAAATAAACTAAGTATGTATTAAATATATTGCTGAATAACTATTATTAAATATATTGCTGAATAACAAAGATAATTATCTCACCATTTCTAATAGAATAGCTTGAGTTTTGGCCTCTTTCTCTGCCTTTATCTCTTCAATTTCTTCGGCTGATCTTCCTTTGAAATCATCAATTTCTTCATCTGCTCCTATTCGACCACTCTGTAAGACAAAAGTTATTCACGTATATATTTAAAGAATAGAAAAATCTTTTAAAAACGGGGTATTTTGCTTTATTCTTAGTTCTGTCAAATGTGTTAGAATAGTTAATAACTTTATTTGTTTCACATATGTGAAATTTACAAACCTCTGAAAATTAATTTTACATCAGCCAGAGCAGTCTTCTAATTTATTGTTAAATCAAAATACACAGTTACATAGGAACTTTCTGGTATCCAACTAAGTGCTGAATGCAGCAGATAAACGATTTTAGGAATTAAGCACCAAATCCAACTATAAAGATAAATTTAACTTTAAGAAATCTCATAAGCAGAAATATACTTTAAAAAATCCGAGGAAAAAGTCTGCATTATTCCACAGAAATTTCTGGGGTCCAGCTTGGCTTCAGAGTATCCTCCAGGTGAAAAATCCCCTTAAAAGATGATAGCTTCATTTAGCCTAAAAGCTAAGTTAAACATTCCTATTTAGAGTTAGGAGATAAGAAAAACATTTTCCCAAAGTATTCCTATCAGCTTCCAGAGTAAGGTTCCTCTGGTGGAACCAAAAATGAAGAAAAGATGTTATAATGGGAAATAAAAAAATAGCTAGAAAAATTAGTATTTCCACAGACAAGAAAAAGAACTCTAAACTTATCCTAGAATTGATCAAGCAAAATATTCATTCCAAAGAAATAAATTTTAATAGGCTAAAAAGCAAAAGCTACGCAAAGCATTAATACCCACATACATTCAAACACAAAAGGACTCAACTTACATCCAGTTGTTCCCTAGTAGGTTCTGGTGACCGATCAGGAATTAATAAATCCGGAGGGTCATCAAATGGATCATCTAAAATCACTGTATGATTAATCCTTACAAAATAAATCCATGTCAAATGTTATATTTATATTATTTCAGAATCTGTTTTACTTTTTATAAATATTAAAACAAATGTGTTATATATCTCTAAAGACAAAAGCCATAAGCTCCTAAATTTTATTGCACAAGGATGCTATTACAGTAGACTGGCACAATTAGTTCCATTGTTTTTGATTGTTTGATATTTATTACTCTGCATTACTCTAAAATAATATAAGGTCTAAACTCAGTACTTTTGCCACATCTCTCAGTAGTCTGCATTTTTAAAAAAACTAAAGGTTTAATAATTCCTTCCCACATAAGCAATTATAAATAATCAGTACAAGTTTAAAAACATAAAAGTTCTTTTTTATTATAAAGATTCTTCTAGTCTTATATTAATTCACATTTTGGAATGACCCCAAAAAAGCTTTACACACGCCAACCACCACTACCGCGTCCAACATCACAGTGCTAAAACATTCTAACGCGCTCAGACAGTAAATTGTAAGCACACCTGATATCTTGATATGGTACAAAATCCTTGTCAACAAAGGTCTCGTTGATTTTCTTAATTATGTCCATGCCTTCTGTCACCTCACCAAACACTGTATGAACACCATCAAGGTAATCTAGATTATCTCCTGTGGTAATAAGAAACTATAAAGAAAAACCAAGAACACAAATACACACATATATATAATTCAAACTGAAACTAATTCCAGACTGACAAAAAATTTACAACATTAAGACTCTCACTGCATGGATTCTTACCCACTTGTTACTAGTACAACACTAAGTAAAAAGTACAAAGCTTAACACAAAATGTTAACACACACAGATGCTCCTCCGATTGTTAAAAATACTTGGACAAAGCAAGGCTCCGTTTCTGCACAAGGAAGCTGTGAGAAAGGAAAACCACCTACCCCAAGTGGGGTTTCAGTGAGCATTAAACAAGACAATGAATGACAAGTGCCAGTGTGACCTGCTTTAAACTAAGGAGCAAACACAGGAAGGACAAGGGGTGCAGTGTGGACAGTGATGATCTGTGAACGGTGGGACTGGGGGCGAGGTTACTTTCTTCCTTGTACTCTTCAGTGTTTGCTAGATTCCTCACAATGGACATGTTTTGCATTTAAAAAAACAACGGTTTTCTCTTTTGTGAGGTCATATGATTTTTGTTATATTGAAACAAGTGTAATTTTTTTCTTCCAAAAAAATCTTTAATTGAAAATTTCCCCTTACTGGATAATTTTAAAAAATAACTTTGTGGGATCATCCCAGCCCTTCCTTTTAGAGAAAAGCGCATCTTCTCACCCACTTCCTAACCTGAGATCCATGCTGATCACTGCCATTGTTCACCATGGACACGGTGCCTTTCTTCTTGTGCTTAATTCTTGGCACTTTTTCCACATCGAAAAACCTTGCTTGATCGCCATACAGCTGACTGAAAATATACACAATAAGGTAACAAAATGCAAGTATTTTCAACATGAAATACAGAAGTACTAGTAACATGTAGGGTTACCATTTCTTTATAGAAACACCAGTATGATTCAAAATATTCCTCTATTATGCTATAGGCATTTAGGGAACTTGGAAAAAATCTAATCTGAAACATACTGTAAAATGTAGACTGAGCCCTGGCAGGGTGGCCTAGGTGGTTGGAATGTTGTTCTGTACACCAAAAAAGGTTGTGGGTTTGATTCCCAGTCAGGGCACATACCTAGATTGCGGGTTTAATAGGGGAGGCAATCAATCGATGTTTCTCTTTCTCTGTACGCACCCACCCCTTCCCTCTAAAATCAATAAAAAACATCCTCGGGTGAGGATTTTTTTAAAAGATTTTATTTATTTATTGTTTAGAGAGGGGAAGGTAGAGAAAAAGAGAGGGAGAGAAACATCAATGTGTGCTTGCCTCTTGCATGGCCCCTACTGGGGACCTGGCCCACAACCCAAGTATGTGCCCTAGACTGGGAGTCAAACTAGTGACCCTCTGGTTTGCAGGCCAGCACTCAACCACTGAGCCACACCAGCCAAGGCAGATGAGTATTTTTTTTAAATGTAGGTTGAAATATGCTAGTTAACATTATAAAGAGGTAACTGTATTTTTATTTACCTAAAAAATAAAAGAACTTACCCAAAAACAGACTCTCCTCCACGGCCAGTCCCTGTAGGATCACCAGTTTGTATGATAAAATCCCTCTATAATATACAGGATACTTTATCAATTCAAAGAATTTGGTAGATGGTTCCAATAACAAAGGACATTGACTAATATCCACCAACTCACCTGTACATTGTGAATAAGGCAATAATTGTAATACTTTATTTTGCATAACTTCAGGAAATTCAAGCAAGCTGAAAGAAAATAAATAACAAATTTATCGCAGTAGTTCACAAATACATTTTTAAGTAAAAGCACAGTTAGTATAATTTAATTTCTAAATTACCATACAAAAGGTCCCCAAAGTGGTCATAGGTCTAAAGCCATAAAAAAGTCAGTGAGCCTAAAGAAGGGCAATACATTTTTAATTATCTTTTTATTCTCTTTTTCTTTGGATTTCTCTAGCATCTGAGCTAATGGAGGAAACTGACACTTATCTGAGATAAGCAATCACTTACTGATTTTTTTAACAGATTTTATTTCTTTACTTTTCGAGAGAGGGGAAAGAAGGGAGAAAGAGAGGGAGAGAAACATCAATGTGTGGTTGTCTTTCACACACCCCCAACTGGAGACCTGGCCTGCAACCCAAGCATGTGCCCTGACTGGGAATCTAACTGGAGACCTTTAGGTTTGCAGGCCGGTGCTCACTCCACTGAGCCACATCAGTCAGAGCTGATTGATCGATTTTATAAGAGAAAAAAAGAAAAATTAGTCACCATACTGGCCACATCTGAAAATACCATTTCTGCCACTTAAACAGTAAAATAATAAAACGTGGGTTAAAAAATGCCACAACAGTTCAAAAAAGAGATTGTTTCTAACTGGAGAAATTAGAAGACCTCCTGGAAGCTTTTAAAGGAACTGGATTGGCAGAGAATAGCAAATAGACAACATGTACCAATACAATGTCACATGGTACAAATACCACAGATAAACATACAGAAGATGTACAACTCTGGAGGAAAATACAGACAATAGGAGATGCTGCGAATGTGTGGGGGTAGTGGGTATATGGGAAATCTCCATCTTCCCCTCAATTTTGCTATAAACCTTAAACTGCTCAAAAAAGTGAAGTCTTAATTTTTTAAAAGGGAGGGGGAGAACCTATAGATTAAGAGATTTAAGAGATGTATCAGCTAATATAATACTATATGGCCCTTGCTTGGAACTTAATTTAAATGACCAAATATTTTTTTAAGTGATTATAAGAAAGAAAATATGAATTATACTAAGGAAATTTGCTGATTTTTTCAGATGTGATGATAATTTTTGGTTATGTAGTCTTTTTTTAAAGTATCTTTTAAGATACAAATTGATGTAATTACAGATTAAATAAATCCCATGTTAAGGATTTATTACAAAAAATCCAGTGGAGCTGGGGATATAAATGAAACAATATTAGTTATGTATTGACCGCTACTAAATGAAGCTGGTCATCAGCACAAGAGGGTTCATTGACATGACTCTACTTCTGGATGTCTTACGTTTTCTGTAATGAGAAGGAGGAAAGGAAGAAAGGAAGGGAAGGAGGAAGGAAATAAATCTGGATATGTTTACTATGGATTAACAAGTAGTTATAGATATAAGTAGAGAGCCAATCGCTTACAAATACATACAAACGGGACGGGTTATGTTTTTAGTGTTCTCAGGTAACCGTGCAGAAGCTATGCTTGTCCATGTGTCTCCGTAACTAGGTGGGGTGACCCCATCTCCCCCCTAGTTAGTTCCTCACGGCTTGGAGAAACAGCCCTTCTCATTTGTCAGGTGCTGCTCCACATAATGAGTGGCAAACAAACCAAAGGAGAGCAAAACCAAAAGATGATAAATATACGTGTCCCTGTAACATCCTTTGAACCTCTGGATCCCACCATCCTTACAGCCATGCTTACCCCAGTAACATGAGACAATCAATTACTTTCTTTCAGCCAGTTTGAGTTGAGTTTCTACCAGTTGCACAAAATGTCTTAATGCAACGATTATATATATGGATCAGTCAATAACATGAACCTCCAGTGCGTGCCCTCAAAGTGCCAGGCGTTGTACAAGGCGCTCAGGATACAGCGGTAGACTATTAAGGCACAGACTCTCTTGGAATTTATATTCTTGAGAGGACACAAGACTTGCAAATAACTCCAGGCCAACACACCAATGTTTCAACAAAACATGTGTTGTGTGATTTATAAAAGATCTGAGACAGCGGAAGAAACAGATCAAACTCTGCTTAGGGACAATGGAGAGACACAGTAAACACCATGCTTGACCTGAGATACGAACAACAAGCAAAAAGCCTGCCAAAAGGACACCAGTGGGGAGAAACGCGGGGAAGAGGCAATAGTGTGTGAAAGGCATAGGTATATGGTTGAACAGTTAGGGGTGGGGATGGGGGAGTTGTGTAGCAGGAGGCACTCGTACAGCATTGCGGCTTGTTTCATCCCCTTGGGTAGACTCTGTATTTCATGGGGGCAGGGCCCTAATTGTAACTAATCCCTCTTGGCCTTCAGATTGTTCCTATTCTGATACATTCTCCGTAGTGCTGCCTACTACCTTCCTAAAACAGGTGTGCCATGCCTCAATGCTGTTTCTTAAAATCTTCAAAACCTCTGGTCACGAGTAGGGCACACAAGACTATTCACGATCTAACATATACAACCAGACTCGCAGCTGCCATTCCCTGCCACATACCATTCCTTCAAGCCACACCAAACTACTTGCTGTTTCCAGAAAATTCCAAGCGAACTCAAAGAAAACTCTCGATTCCACTCATCTTTGATAGAGCGCGTACAAGGGTTCTGCATTTTTGGCTCCTTTCAACTCCCCGCCCCCAGCCAGGAAGAATTACTCCTTCCTCTGGTTTCCATAGCAACTTAGACATTCTTCCTCTACAACATTTCAAAAGTTAAATGGGTTCCAGCGCAGATTTCCCTCAATGGACCATTAGATCCCCAAGGGCAAGGTGCCCGTCCCACCGCTTGGCAAAGTCTTGTATAGTCGTCGATCGCCGAGCGTGTGCCCAGATTCCGTGCACACCCCCGGAGAGCCCTCCATCCAGGCGGGACGCCCACACTCACTGACCCAAGCACACCCTCCCTGCTTTCACCGAGACTCACGCATTACACACCAAGGAACACTGGTTGTGCTCCGGTCGCCAGGAAAGCGCAGTAAAGCCACTAAAGCTTTGTGGGACCTGCATAAGCGGCCAGGCACAGCACACAGGCATTTAAAGCCCACACGCCCCGCCGCCCGACTGGCCCGCACCAGACACGGGGGAAGGGATGTCCTCACAAAAACTTTTCAAACCCAGGCCCGCTCGTAAGCGCCGGGTCGCCGGCACCACCAGCCCAGACGCTCGAACTAGCCGACGTCGGGGACTGCGCGGCGAAAGGACAGTGAAGAAAAGAGATCGCCGCGCGGGCAAGAGGTGGTCGGGGCGGGCCTCACCGCGCGGCCGCTCCTCGGTGTACAAGTCGATGACGACGTCGCCCAGAGTGGTCTCCAGCAGAACCGCCATGGCGCCGGCTCGGCCTTCGCAGGGAGTGAGCGCCGGGGTTGACAGGCGCAGCCCGTCGTCGTCCACGCCGCGCGTCACCGTCGGCGCGACGCCTGATTCCGCCATCCCGACGGCGACACCGCCCCTTTCCGGGCCGCAAGGTAAGGCCCGATTGGTTGCCGTCCTGTGGTTCCCTTGGGCCCCGCCCCCGGCGCGGCTCTTTGAAAATCCTGATACACTCGGGACCGATGGTGCAGAATACTGTCCTGTGCAAGTGCCACTGGGTCCCCGGCTGGGGTGGCTCAGTAGACTGGGTGCGGGCCGGCGAGCCAAAGGGCCGCGGGTTTGATTCCCATTTGGGGCAAATTCCTGGGTAGTACCCCAAGCCCCCAGTGGGGGGCGCGTGAGACGCAACCGCATGTTGTGTTTCCCTCCTTCACCTCTCTCTAAATTAGAGTCTTTTTAAAAAATTGCCTCCGTAAAGGATTTTGATCCCTGTCTGTGTCCATCTCAAGAACGGAGAGGGCCTCGGAGCGATCCACCCCCCCCCTTTTTTTTTTCACGCTTCTCAGACCGCTCTGTCTAGCGGGAGCGACGGCGGTGCCACCTACTCCAGCGTTCTTGTTGGGACTAGTGATTTCCTAATAAGGGTTAAGTTGTCTCCTTGAGTCAAAAACTTTGGGCCTTAAACGTACAATGTTCTGCCCAGAAAGATGGTTAACAGGGAGTTCTTTACTGTCTAATCGTGTCTATGGCAGAGACTACCTGATACAGCAGCAGATGGTGGGTCGTTAGTGCTGAAAGCCGTAGGTTTCAGCCCCAAACACTCTGCTGGTTTCATCAATACTCTTTAACTTAGGAGACCTCTAAACTATCTCGGGCCTCTGTTGAGGCTTTCTGTCCAAAGCGTATTACCAAAACTGTCGTGGACAGGCTGATCATTCTCCTCTGTGTCATTTTTCACGTATTTATAACCTCCAGTAACTCCATCTCTGACTGTAGAAATGAGGCAGGTTTACTGGTGCTCCTGCAGCTCGTACTGTGAGTAATAAATTATTGTTTGTCTCTGACCCAGGAAGGGGCCTCATATCTTCCACCAGCATCCATGAAACTAGCAAGCTAACATGTTAATTTAAAAGTAGAGAAAACCTCAGAACTTTCAGATCCTGACAATTATTTCCTAAATTCCTGTCACCTTATTTACATAATATTTCTTATTAACATTTTATTTATTGCATTCTTCTCAGACACTAATGAACAGTATGCTTTTTAACATCCTTAGGTACAGCTGTCCCTTCGCGCTTTCAGCTTTCAGGTTGCTGGAACTAGTTAGCTGGGGAGGCAGGAAACAGGCACCGCCTCTGGCTCCAGGTGTGGTGAAGCAGGAAGCAAAGATCTACACTTTTCCGTTTCTCCATTTCTCTCAACCCTGCTTGTGTTTTTAGAAAGTCAATAAATGGAACATTTTGTAATACTCTTTATTAAAACAAACTGAATTATGACTTTTACTTTTTTTTACCTTTATTATGACCCAATAAAATGTGTTCATTCAGAATGCCAGGCTTAAAAATCGTGGCTGTATCACTTCCTGTGCTGTAACTCAGGGCAAAAAGCTTAAATTCTCTAAATCTCTATTTTTGTGTAAAAGGTGGAATCATAAATTATAATCATGTCATTAGGCTGCTGTGAGGTTTAAATAGTATACATAAAGCATTCAACGCGTTTAACACGGTGAACGTTGGCTGCTACAGTGATATTTCTATGAGTTAGTTGTTCCTCAGAAGCATCACTCCCTGTCACAGGTATAATGAAGTTCCTATCTAAATACGCAGACATAAAGGTTACAGTAAAAGCAGTTTTAAATTATCTTAGAAGAAATGTAAGGTAAAATTTGTGAATGGCTTTGGAAATGTGAAAAGGATATCTTTCTTTCTTGCTCTCCCTTTTGTCTGAGGGGTCTTCAGGAAGATCAAACATATGTAGCTGAAAAAGTTTGGACAATAATGGAACAGGCTGTGACTCACTTTTTCTCAGAAATTGGAAACAGACCCAGATTATATTTCAAATTTCTCTTGGTGTCAAGCCTGCTTTTGAATTGTAGAAAAAGATAAATTTTAGTTTTGACTGTGAAAACTATGTTATTAATAATGAAATCAGTTGCTGAACAAGGACCTATATCAAAGTTTGGAGTCAAAAAATGCCATTTCATGAGAAAATAAAGATGTATTTTTATAGATGTTATATACTTTGTTTTCTCTATGGTATTAAAATTTTTTAGAATATCTTCTATAGGAAAGATTATCTTCAAGGAACATACAGCATCTAATGTGTGTAGAAATAGACTGTATTTCTATTGGCAAACTGAACTGTTCTGGACAGGTTTAATAATTACAGAAATGAAGTTGATATGAATTGATGCAAAAGAATGAAGTTCACACCCTGGCCAATGGGCCCAGTTGTTTGGAGTGTTGTTTGCACACCAAAAGGTTGCAGGGGTTGGGTCGGGGCATGTTGGTGGGGGGCAACTGATTGATGTTTCTCTGTCTCTCTCTCTCCCTCCTTCCCTCCCTCCTTTCCTCTGTCTCTAAAATCAATAGATATAAAAAAATTAACAAAAACAAAGTTCCTACCATAATAACTGATGGATTTGTTTGCCAGTTTTATTCTGGTTTTCAGGTTTACAGATTAATGTGATGGTACAGTATACCAAGCTGAGTCTTCCAAAAGATGCAAGTGAGTGGAACCCTACACAAAGGTTGTTTAAAGTTTTAACTCATCAGAGTTGTGGTAGATAATAGTGTTTGTTGCAAATGATGGGACATTTTAAGTAGAAATTCCATGGTAATCATGCCTGTAGATAGCAAAATGGTGGCCTAAAGAGAACCATGTCATACAAAATAGTAAAATTGTTCATTATCAAGTAATATCAACAACTTAGAGTTTATTTATCCAACAAATCCCTGCTCAAACAGGTTTCATATTTTAACCTTTGGCCACTGCCCTCCTGGAGCTCAGAGCTAGCTAAGGAGATAGAGAAGGGAAAGGATAATAGATGGTCAGACTGTGGGGAGGACTCTTTGGGAAATACAGACTACCTCACCTTCCCCAACTACTTTTTCATAGCAATGTGCTTTGAAATCTTATACATATGTCACTAATTCAAATTATACAGATCTATATGTGTTACGTGTTCTGACCTCTAGGTGATTGTTGTTATTTGTTTGTTCGTTTTTTTAAGTGAGAGAGAAGAAGGTAGAGAGAGAAAAACATCAATCTGATGTTCTACTTACTTAAGCATTGCTTGGATGTTTTATGTGCCCTGACAGGGGGTGGAGCCTGCAACCTTGGCATACTGGGAGGGTGCTCTAACCAGTTGGGCTACCAGGCCAAAGCCTAGGTTCATTTTAAATCACAGCCGTGTGAAACAGAATGAAAAGGCCAGTGGTTGCATTTGGAACCCAAGAGTGGGTGGAACTTGCAAGTGAACAATATTATTAGATATCTTATAGTAGGTAAGCAGTTAGTTAAATGATTTTATAGTTTACCCTACAGAGATTTTGTAGCTTACTCTAGACTTCATAAACATGAAGAAAGGGGTTGATACATGGGAGAGGGCTAAGACAGAAAGAGAGATTTATGCTCTTTTTCATAGCAAAAAAAATTTATTTTTTAAAAAAGACTAAATGTTTCTTACTCTACCTGAATGGTAATGTGTCCAAGTTCTTCTCAGTCAATATGCAATATTGATTAATCTGAAATGCCTGAATTTCTTGGCATTCTCTGCTTTAGAAGGTTTCATTTTTTTTTAATCTGACAGGGGAAAACAAGTCTATAATCTTCATTTTGTAGATTAAGAAACTGACCAGAAAGGCCCCCAGGGCACAGGTGGGCAGGCTCCCAACTGAGTGCTGTTCCCAAGCTGCTTCCAGTGATTGATTTGCCCAATGTTGAACGTTTAATGCATGATCGACCCTCAACCTTGGCACAATAAATCACTTGGGGAACTTTAAAAACTACGAGTGACAGAACAGCAGCCCAGACTAATAAAATCAAAAGTCAGTGCCCAGAAAACCCGAGTCAGTAATTTTTGAAACTGCCCAGGCAATCCCATGTACAGGTAAGGGTGAGAACTACCGACTTAATAAAATGTCCTCACCAAACGTGATATGTCTTCTTTTTAGTGTATAATAGTGTTCTTTTTAAAGAAAGATTTTATTTATTTTCACAGAGAGGGGAAGGGAGAAAAGAGAGGGTGAGAAACATCCATATAACAGTGAAACATCAACTGGCTACCTCTTGCCTGAGCCCTGATTTAGAGGAACAACCCAAACATGTGGCCTGACCAGGAATGGAACCAGCCACACTGGTTCCTTTTACTTCGGAACCGTTTACTTTGCCCAGTAGCGCCCAACCTAGCCACACCAGGCAGGGCTAGTCTTCTGATACATTTATTGCGAATATTTTCACTTTGCCGGGGTGTCCAACCTTTTGGCACCTCTGGGCCACAGTGGAAGAAGAGTTGTCTTGGGCCACATATTCAATACATAAACACCAACAAAAACTGACGAGTGAAAAAAAAGATTATAAGTAAATTCACAATTCTGTGTTGGGAAGCATTCATTCGCATTCTGGGCCACATGCGGCCTGCCTGAGGCAGGTTGCACACCCCTGCAGGGGTGTGTGTATACACACACAGAGATACAGCTATGTGCATATACAGTATAATACTAATTTTAAAGTAATGGCAACGAAAATGCACACAATCGTTCAGGTAAGGAAAGCCTCCAATACAGAGCGGCGATCTAATGACAAAATTGTACCTCCTGTTACTTGACTGCGCCCCTCGGCACTACCGGGCGACGCCAGTGAGAGTTCCACTTTCCCCAGCTCCGGGATTCCCTAATCCCACGCCTACTGAGGCCCGCCTCTCCCACGCCCCACGTTTAGGCCCCACCCCCTAACGGCTCCGCCCCTCAGCAGGCCCAGCCCTCCTCGCTCCGCCTCCAGCCCCCGCTGGCCAGTCCAAAATGGAGGGCGCTCGGCTGACGCCGTTCGCCCTCCGTCTGCTCTTGCTTG